GAGCCATTGGGATCATAGGCATGCACCACCTGGCCTAGCCCATTTTTTATTTTGAGACAGAATCTCACTAAATTGCTAATGCTGGCCTCAAACTTGCCATCTTCCTGCCTCAGTCTCCTGAGTCAGTGGAATTACAGGTATGTGCCACTGTGCCCAGTTATTTTCTTATCTTCATACAATAATAGTGATTTGTTCTTTGATCTCTAAGCTAATCATGATACTTCGTATATCTTCCTTTACTCCACTGTGCTCCAACTTGGTGGACGGCATGGTGTGGGAGTAAATGGTGTATTTATCAGCAATCAGAGGGCATTTAGAAGAGCAAGTGAAAGAAAGAAGAATGAAAAAAATACATTGAAAGAGTTTGAATGAATATCTTAAGTAATGTTAGGTGAGGCATGTTGAAAAATTGGGAGATAACAAAAAATCCAGGATTTTTTCCACTGAATACCAAGTTGCCAAGTAGAGTGGGAAGAAAATTGCATCCATAAATTCTAGGCATAGATGTAAAGTTGACATGATCATTGCCATCATAATCAATGTTATTGCCAGTGTATTTGGAGATTATATATATGCTAGGTAATTTTTTTTTCCTGTACCAGAGAGCAAACCCAGAGGCATTAATCACCTAGTCACATTCCCATCCCTTTTTATTTTTTGAGCAGGATCTCACTAAGTTGCTAAGGGCCTCACTAAGTTGCTGAGGCTAGTCTTGAACTTGTTGTGATTCTCCTGCCTTAGCCTCCCAATTGCTGGGATTACAGCCATGCACCACTATACTTGTGTGCCAGATAATTCTTAAGCAGTTTCTTTAGCATATATTTAGTTCTTTAAAGTAGGGGACCTTAAAATAAAAACCTTTTGGGGAAGGGGGGGTATGGTACTAGGGTTGGACACAGGTATGCTCTACTGCTGAGGTACATCCCCAGCCCTTTTTATTTTTATTACTTATTTTGAAATAGGGTTTTAGTAAGTTGCTGAAGCTGGCCTTGAATTTGTAATCTTCCTGCCTCCGCCTCCAGAGTTGCTAGGATTATAGACATACTCCACTGCACCCAGCAAAATCAAACCATTTTTATGCTGAAAACTCCTTTGGCAGTCTGATTGAGCCTATGGGTTCCTTCTCAGAATGTTTTTGAAAGAATAAAACAATATATATGCTTAGGAATTAAACCAATTATATTAAAATACAGCTATCAAAATATTAAAAATCTGTATAGTAATATGAGCTGTAACACATTCAAATACAAGATTTATCAGTCTAACAACTGATTTCAAATTAATGATGGGCCAAGTATTATTTTGGGATCTGTGCAGCTGTAAAATAATATGAAAATTTCTGGTTGCTTCATGTATTAATTTCTAATTGCTGTACTGCAGATAGTTTGCTTGATTCATCATTGAAGAAAAGAGCTAAATTTTATTTAGAGTTTAGTGAAAATAAACATCTAATATTTTTCCTACCAAATTTACCAACCCTCTTAAAGTTTTCATTGAACCCAAATTAAGAATCCCAGTTGGGGCCAGAGCTCAATGATAGGAGCACTTGTTTAGCATGTGTCAGGCCCTGGGTTCAATCCCCAGCATCACAAAACATAAACAAACTTTGGCTTTACAACAACTTTGTGAAAGAGATTCTATCATTAAACATATAACAAGTGGCAAACGAGGATTGAATCTAGGCAGTCTGGTTCAAAAGACTTGTTTTACATCCATCAACCCATTATTATTTTACTTTTAACATAAATTTAAATTCAAGTGATAGAAGTAACAAAAAAAATCTGTAAGGGGCCTAATTATAATTCAGCAGAATATCTTAATACAGGGAGGCAAGTCACATCACTGAAACAAACCTCACGTACCAGGCATGTTTACATTTTATTTTAGTATAGGTAGTATTTTTTGAAAAGTTACATTTTCAGAGACTCGGTTCTTACAAACAGATTTTTCCAAAAATAAAATTCAATGTAGATTCTCAAAACTCACAAACACCAATTGGTTTAGAAATGTCTGGTAGTCAGCAAGTAAGTAGAGTCCTGCTCAAGCCAGTTTCATATTACAAGTAATGATGAGATTATATATATGTCAGGTAAATTCCAATTCCTAGAGTATTAGAAACTACCATTGTTATTCTCAACTGTATTGACAATTACAGTATTGCTGAATTGTACATGATACATTTTCTTTGGTGACTTTATCAATACCATAGGACAACTATGCAGGTCTGGATTAACTTAGTATTTAAGTATTTTATTATAATTACTTAAATGTAATTTCTAATAGATGCTATAATAGGAAAGCCTCCACATGTGCTGAATATAATGGCAAGGTGTGGGGGAAACCCCTTGCTAAATCACTACTAAAATCTCTACAAATGTATAATTCAACTCAGCTTTACTAGCAAAATATTTATATGTTATCTCCAATTCCCCATCAGGTCTGTGATTAAAGATAATAAACAAAGAGAGGCTGGGGATGTGGCTTAGTGGTAGATCACTTGCCTAACATGCACAAGGACCTGAAAGCAATTCCCAGCATCCAAAAATAAAAAATAAATGAAGAAACTAACACCTGGGTATTTGTCAGTTTTTCTGGAAGACTGTTTTATATAAACTCAAAATCAAAGTCCAGGTTCTTGAACCAGCTAGAATATCCTGAACTCAATCTTTTTCCAAAAACTAGTTTGGCATTTTTTCCTTTAAAAAAAAAGAAAAATTTAAGCATTTTACTTGCTGTTAAATTTAAAAACCAAATAGTTTTTGTTTATAGTTAAGTGGAATTTAACCCAAATTTATCATATCACTTTCCTAAAATGTTTTTTCCTGTCTTCATATCCTTTCTAGTTTCATAAAATTTTAAATTTCTATAGTAAAATGGAATTTCATTTTCATATTATGGGGAGTTAAGAAGACTTACAAAGGGAAGAAATAATGAAAAAGTGAAGACAGACTTAGAGCAGGGCCTCTGAAACTTTAGATATAGGATCACCTGAGAAATGCTTGTTAAAACAATGTCAGGCAACTAAAGAGTTTCTGATGCTGTAGGTCTGGGGGGTGGGTCTGATAATCCCATTTCTAACAAGTTCAAGTAATGCTTATGAATCAATCACATTGACCTTTGAAAGACATTGGAGAGAAGGACAAAAAATAAAGAAAAAAGAGAAACTCTTAAAAGTTTGGTCAGAAATTTATAACCTCTTTTTTCCTTTGCGGGGATGAACTTTGAAGGGTTTTGGCTTTTGTTTTGTTTTTTGTTTTTTTTTTTTTTGATACCCAGGATTGAACCCAGGGGCGCTTAACCTCTGAGCCACATCCCCAGCCCTCTTTTTTTGTGGAGGGGAGGGTACTGGGGATTGAACTCAGGTGCACTCTATACTGAGCCACATTCCCAGCCCTATTTTGTATTTTTTATTTAGAGACAGGGTCTCACTAAGTTACTTAGGGCTTTGCTAAATTACTGAGGCAGGCTTTGAATTCAAAGTCCTCCTGCCTTAGCCTCCCGAGCCACTGGGATTACAGGCATGCGCCACCACACCTGGCTACGATCACATTTTTTAAAGAAAAATGAAGGTAACATGAAGGCCAAAACAGCTTAGCTGAAGTGGGTCAGAGTGCTAAACAAATGTTACTCAGTTTGAAAGCTGAATAAAATTACAGTTTTGAGTATTATTGCCATGGATTCAGTTCATTATTTTCCCTATTCTATTCCTGTTCAAAGACTGGAGACCTTACCCATCTTTGGTAGCTGACTGTACAGTCTTTATCTCTGAGCATAGTTTAAATTTGTAGTTCTGATAGAAACCACTTAGCTAACTAAGTAAAAATTGTGCAATAGGTAATAAGCTTTAATTTGCAGTTTCCATTTACACAAACTTTTTAATGGATGAAGGGGGGAAGAGAATGGTCTCATTGAATTGAACTGTATTTACCCTAGTGGAAATCAATGCCAAAACTTGTGTTAATTGGGAGAAAAAATAATTATAAGGAATTGTAGCCTTATCCTACAAGAAAGAAAAATCAGACTTCATAAAGTACCTTTAAAGAAAAGTGAAAAAATGTTTTTGAATTAATGCAATAGGTTTTTTTTTTAAACATAAGCATCTCCAACTTAAAGTTTTTAGATTTGAAATATAATTAATATAATTTAATTCCAGAAAAAGGAAAACCAAACATACCTACAATGGAAACATGTAGACTAGACCCAAATTTATCATCACTTTCCTAAAACATTTTTTCCTGTCTTCTTATCCTTTGTAGTTTCATAAATTTTCAAACATTATAGTCATACTTTACCAAAAAGGAAAAACTGGGTTTTTTTCCCTTAGTTGAAAATTGAATGAAATTATGTGAAATCATTTGTGTAGCACTTTTTTTTTTTTTTTTCCAAATTCAAGAGGTTGGTGTTAGCCAGACATGGTGGCACATGTCTATAATCACAGCTTTTTGGGAAGTTGAGGCAGGAGGACCATAAATTTGAGGCCAACTCGGGAAACTTTTTAGGGCTAGGAACATATTCAGTGGTAGAGGGCCCAAGTTCAATCCTCATTACCCGCTGCCCCCCCACACACACACACAAAAACACACATACACACACAAATACACAGAAGAGGTTAGTGTTACGATAGGGAGAACACTAAATCTCACATATTCCTATGTTTACCAGTCCTTAAAGAACTATCTTGTCTTATGTAAAACAAAAGCAGCTTAAGGGTTGTCTCTTTGAACTCTGGTTCACTGGTGAGAGTGAAGAATTTCTAGAAAGATGGAGGAAATTACATAATAACAAATTTCAGAAAAAAGATGCTATAGAAGATGATGAGGAAAAACAAAAATTAAAGACTGTTCTACTGGGAATATACTGATTGTTCTGTATTCATAGTCTTTCAGCAGGATTGAGGTTCTATCATATAACAAAGTAGGTTCATCCCCGTAAGTAAGCACTACAGTGTAGAAGAGACTGAAATCCTAAAAATAAACATCATTTTCTCTCTTAATTTACAGAAGTTGCTGGGTTTGTTTTGCCACTGATGAAGATGATAGAACAGCTGAATGGGTGAGACCATGCAGGTGCCGAGGATCTACCAAATGGGTTCATCAGGCCTGTCTGCAGCGCTGGGTTGATGAAAAACAAAGAGGAAACAGTACAGCCAGAGTGGCATGTCCTCAGTGCAATGCTGAATACTTAATAGTTTTTCCAAAGTTGGGTAAGAATGTCTTTAAAAATAACAGTGGTACATTTGATGTCATTACATAACTCTATGAACTCAAATTTATTTTTTTTTAATATTTATTTTTTAGTTGTAGTTGGACATATTACCTTTATTTTATTTATTTATTTTTATGTGGTGCTTAGGATCATACTCAGGGCCTTACACGTGCTAGACAAGCACTCTACTGCTGAGCCACAACCGCAGCCCCTCAGATTTATTTTTAAATGACCCATTTTGGCATTCTGGGAATTTTTACAATCCCTTTCTGTTATTTCTTCTCTAAATGTCAGACATTTGTTTTGCTAACAGTTGACAGCATCCTTAATATATGACCAAATCATTCATTTATCTGTGTGTTAACTATTTTCATGTGGTTGAGAGGAAAAAGAACATGAATATCTAATTGTGTAAATATTATCAAATAACAAAGCTATAATAAAAAGCTGACTTAAAGAACCACATTCTCTGAAGAAAGTTGTTAAAAGAGAAAGAAAGCAATTCTTTCTAATAATTCTCCTTAATTATTTTGTTAAGGAATAAATGTAGGGAAATTAAAGATTTAATAAGATATTGAGTTAAATTTATGTTTGGAATCCAATTATATGGTTGTCTTTCATGAAAACTGCTATCTCTTTCTGGGAATTGGCAGTCAAGGAATAACTGGAGGTCTTTGAGAATGGGGCAAGCATGGAAAAAGTATAGCAGACTGCTTAAAAGAAGCTGTAACTAAGGATAATATTTAGTAAACCTATTCCAGTATAGCCATACATTTATGAGCTGGTTTCATTCTTTGGTGTTTATGCCATGATAACTGGTAACTGCTTTTGATATCACCCTTAGTTTTAACCAAGAGGTATAGAAAGACAGTCTGAATTATGGGAAGGTCAAAAGGAAAGAATGACTTTGGGGAGGGATTGGGGAAATTAGAAATTGTTAGATATATTGGTTTTTGTAAGTGTCGTACCTACTGAAATCAAATCATGTTTTTTCTAAATGAGGTAATATAAATGCAGATAATGAAATGCTTTTTTTATGAAATGCTTTTCTAATGCAAGAAGATTATTAATAAGGGCAATTTCCCTTATTGTTTTTCCTCTAGCATGATGCATAAGAAGAAATGATAGCCTCATAGGAAAAGAAAGTTAAGTAATGGAAAAAATAGTATTCTCAAATATTTGGAATTTCTGGACCCATGATAGGTCTTCACAATCATCACCAATTTTAGATAAACACAAAGGAATGACCTAAAATGTTTACATTGTAAAATCAAAACAATATTGCAAAATAACTTGAACATTAGTAAAAGGCAGTTATTGCTTTAGTCTCTCACCATGTTTATATCTGGCTTACAAGTCAGAGTTAGATTTTCATACTTAACCTAGGGTTTTTTTCTTACTCTTTTATTTCTACTAAATGAGATAAGCCTACCTTTTAGTTATAAGTTATTAGAAAAATGGCAAATATAAGGTGATTCTTTGGGGTGTTTTAGATATTCAGATGGTGAACATAAAAATTATTATAAGAATTATTATTAAAATCTACATGTGGTGTTTGATCAGGTACTAAGTTGACAGATGTATGCCATTTAACAGGAAAGCTTAATATTCAGTTGGAAGATGGTAGTAGGGTAGATCTATCCTTTTGTTTGAGTTCAGTTTTAGGATATTTGTTTTCAGGCAGTAATTGTGGGTTCTGGCCGGGAGCAAGATTGTTCTGTTTTATTTTTGTGGTATTGGGGATTGGACCCAGGGGTGCTTTATACTGAGCTACATCCCCAACCTTTTTTATTTTTGATTTTGAGACAAGGTCTCACTAAGTTCTGAGACTGGCCTTGAACTTGAGATCCTCCTACCTCAGCCCCCTGAGTTTCTGGAAGTACAGGCATGCATCACTGTACCCAACTTGAATGTGGTTTTAATTGATATCCTTCTACAACAAGGAAGGAAAACGCCTAGATGCTATGTGGAAAAGAGTGAAACTCTTTGGCTAGGCCAAAGAGATTATCATGATTGGGTCTATATTATTTTATCCTTAAGAATTGTATTATTAGGGCTGGGGATGTAGCTCAGTGACAGTGCTTACCTAGTATGCTTGAGGCCCTGGGTTCAAGCCCCAGTACTGGGGGAAAAAAAAAAATGTTATTGCTGTGTGTAGTGGTACATGCCTATAATTACAGTGATTCAGGAGACTGAGACAGGAGGATAGCAAGTCCAAGGCCAGCATGGGCAACTTGGTAAAACCTTGTCTCAAAATGTAAAATCAAAAGGGCTGGGGAAGTTGCTCAGTGATAGAGTATCTCTGGGTTCAATCCCTAGTACCACCCCACCCCCCAAAAAAATTGTTTATTTCATGCCAAATAATAGGTTCAAGCTATTCACTGTAGTGTATGTCATGTAGATACAGCACTGAAACTATTTAAAATCATAGACATATTTTACAGCAATGTCATAAAATTTAAATCTTGAGCCTGAATGCAAGAGAGAGAAGCATAATCTGTATTTGCTGCTGCTTTTCTTTTTTCATGAAGATACCTGTTCAAGGACAATTTGAATTACATCATAATTTCCATTGTAGTCTTTTTAATACTGATTTATGAGGGAATATTGTTAAATTTCAGCTGTGGTCTGTAAATGAAGTCGTGTGAATTTGTTCTTAGCGGGTCTTCCTTGTTACCCCCATAATTGATGTCCTGGCTATATTGATCCCAGTATACCTTTTCAAGACAAGGTTTAAAAACAGTTATTGGATCAGAAAATCCCTCTCAATCATGTTTTTTGATAATCAGGATTAAAAATTTGGGGGACTGGGGGTGCTGGCTCCATGTTAGAGCACTTGCCTAGCATATTCAAGGTCCTGGTTCCATCCCCGGCACTGCCCCCTCCCCCCAAAAAATTCAAAAGTTGTCAGTTTTTCTTGATTTACATATTATAAATGGATATGCCAAAGGTTGATCCAAACTCAGTACACTGGTGGTTTCATGCAGCCATAAAACAAATACCTAAAAGCATATATCTGTGGTAATTACTCTTCCTCACTATATAACACATTGTTATGGTTTAGATATGAGTTGTCCCCCAAAAGCTCCTTTGTTAATGCAGGAATGTTCAGAAGTAAAATGATTTCATTGTGAGAGCTGTAACCTAATCAGTCCATCATAGTTTGAATGACTGGGTGGTAACTGTAGGCAGGCTGGGCATGGCTGGAGGAGAGGGTGTGCCCTCGAAGGGTTTATCTTCCCAGTGGCTTCTTCCCCTCTCCGCTTCCTAGCTGCTATACATGGAGCAGCTTCTCTCTGCCGTGTCCATCCACCATGATGTGCTTCCTTCCTCTGGGCTCACAGCAGTGCACTTAGCCATCTGTGACTAAGACCTCTGAAACCATGAAGTTTCCCTTTTTTAAGTTGTACTTGTCAGGTATTTTGGTCACAGTGATGCAAAACTAACACACACACATAAAATGTCCTGTTGTTATCATCTCTTAGAATTTTGCCAGTATATTGTTCTGTTTTTCTGAGTATATTTGTCATTAGTTTTACAGCTGACAGTAATTATACTTGTTAAAAGAAGATCAAATACCTTGACTATAATTTTAATCTTTGCTTCTAATGACAAAATTAATAAGAGAGACTAGGTTGATTTACTGGAGTGGTTGAAAATTATGTGAATACTTCAGTGGCTTGTTCCTATTGGTATATGTAATTCAATGTATTGCAATATAATAGGAACAATAATATTTTCTAGTGCAGACTAATTATTCCTGATTCACTGGTTAGAGCCCACTCTGAGATTACAGTCTTCATTCTAAGAGCATGCTTTTATCATTTATGACGTTGTGAGTTAAATGTAATTTTCATTTTTACTCTTTGAATTAATATTCTTGAGTTATTGATTCATTTATTGAATATTATTAAATATTCTTGTAAATATTGGATGTCCCTTGCAATATAGCAACAATTAAAAACCTAAAATAATTTATTTGAAAGTCCTAATTAATCTTTTCAAATTTGTGAAATGTGGGCTGGGGATGTAGTTCAGTGGGAGAGAATTCCCTAGCATCTTGAGGCTCTGGATTCGTTTCCCAGCACCACCAAAAGAAAAAAAAAAAAAAAGATCTATTCAGGGTCAAAACTCTTATCATTTTGTCTTAAAACTGTCTGTAAACCAATTAATAGATTACCAGGAACTGCTATTTGTCCCTAAATGACACTTGAGGAACACTAACTAGAAAGAGGAATACTAACTAGAAAGAAGAATAGGAGACAAGAAAAGACGCAGAAAGGAAAAAGTGATAGCTAACATTCTACAGGATGATGTCTGTGTTTTGGGGTGGGGGTGGAATTTTTTGTTTTTGTTGTTTTCCTCCCTAAGTTTTCATATGGATTTAGCTTCAGTCTGACTGGCTATCTGGCCAATTCTGCTTCTTTTCTAGGACTTATTGGTGGCAGGAATGAATGAATAAATGATGTTGAATGTATGTTTTCATTGTTGATAGGAAACTCAGTTGCATCCTTCTCACTATTTGCTATCCCAACCCCATCTTGGGGTTTGCTTTCTTTTTTTCTAGTGAGGTAAGCCAGTTGTACACATGTACTGACTTAAAAACCTTGGTATTCAAAGTATGATCTGAGGACGAGCAACATTGATTGGCATCCTATGGGAGCTGTTAAGAATGCAGAACACCACCTACTCACTCACCGTTTTTACTGAATTGACATCTGCATTTTTAATAAGATCATCAGTTGATTTCTATATACATTAAATTTAAGAAGCATTACTTAAACAGCTTGGTGGCACATACCAATTGTTCCAGCTACTCAGGAGGATCACTTGAGCCTCTAGAAGTTTGAGGCCAGTGTGGGGAACAGAGTAAGATCTCATTTCAAAAAGGAAAAAAAAAAAGCATTACTTTAAAACATGAAGGGGGAGTACTAGTTGGAAAAGGCTTGCTTCCCATAATAAATAGTGCTGTTTTATGTATTAATTAAAGATAATCAA